ACAACTACAACATCATCAAATTCCTCAATCCCAACAACAAACACCACAGCCATCTCCCCAACACTCATCCAATTCAGTATCATCAATGTTAACTCAATCACTATCTGTACCAACTTCATCGGACTCCATTCAATCACCAATATATGATATCCATGATCCCAATGCACTTTTACAACATCAACAATTAAACTCACAGCAACAATCACCACAACAAACCTCGTTATCAAATGGTAACTCTGTAAATAGTAACATCAACAATAATATTTCAAATAGTGGCACCAATAGTGCCAGTAGTAGTACATCAGTAACATCACCAAACACTTTAACATCAACAAATATAAATGGATCAATCGATGATATAATAAGCTCGCCTAAAACCAAATCAAAGAAATCAAAGTCATCAAGTTCATCAAATTCTAATTCATCGACAAATTCATCGAGTGGTAATGGCTCAGGAATACTTAAAGGTCAAAAAGCCAAACCAAGCCACAGCCCATTAGAAAATTCACTAAACTCATTAACCAAAGAACAATTAGTACAATTATGCACACAATTTTTTGAAGTTGGTCATCCAAATTTAATTCAAGAGTTTGAAAATGCAATGCCACCCCCAGATCTTCATGAAATTATGGAGGAATTGGACGATCTTCAAAAGAAATATAACAAACTTTATCCAAATAATAAGTTTTGTTATGACAACCAATCCTATAACCGCGTAAAGAGTGGCTTAGCTGCCTTTAAGAAAGCACTTGTAGAATATGGCGAAAACTTTAAAGAAAAAAGTGGTTGGGCAACACTCCTTCAATATGTAATTTTGGCAATTCCCTATGCCCTTCGTATGCCATTATGGGATGATGAGAAAAATAACGCTTCAAGAATATCAGCACTCTCTAAAATGGATGTTTTCGGTAAAGCTGCTGTCAAGGGTTTACTTCAAAATGACATTCCATTAGAAAAATGGGAACGTCACAGAGTCTCACTCAATCCCCATTCATTCTATTTAAGAAGTACCATTGAAGAACTCGATAAGTGCATTGAAAAAAGAAGAAAGAAAGAAGAGAAACATGACAAGCAATCCAAAAAAAGAAAGAAGTCTGAACCAAAATTCAATTAATTAAATTGATTAATTTAATTTAAAAAAAAAAAAAAAGAAAAAAGAAAGGGTGAATTAAAATTTTTTTTTTTTTTCCAACTTTTGATTGCAAACGTGTATAAACAATAAAAAAAAAAAGAAAATTTAAAAACTATATTCTTTATCTATAACTATTTATTTTTTTTTTTTTTATTCATTCAATCATCAAACCAACATTTCACACAATTTTATCACTTGAGTGGGTATTTTTTATTTTTATTTTGTGTGTTGGGGGGGGATTTTTCTTTTTTTTTTTTTTATGTAAAATTTAATTTTTTATAGTTTTTTATTTTTTTATTTTTATATATTTATTAATTTATTTATTTTTTTATTTATTTTTTTTTTTTTTTTTTTTTTTTTTTATTCCTCAGGGACAGATACCATTTTTTTTTTCAGCTAATATTTAAATTTTATTTTGTTTTATATTTTTTTTATAAATTTTATTTTTTTAAAATTTTTTTTAAAATTTTATTTTTTTTTTTTTTATTTTTTTTTTTCTGTTTTATTTTTTTTATTTTTTTCTTTACACACCAAATAAATAAACGAAGCCCAACATAATATATTTAATAAATAATTTTGTTAAAATATATATAAATATATAAATATTTATGCTAATAAACCTTTTAAAAAAAATAATAAATAATCTTTTAATAAAACCTGTTAGTTTTTTTATATTTGTTTTATTAATTTTTTATCAAAAAGTTAAACATCAAATTCAAATGTCCTCACATATTTCATTTCAAGATGAAGATTTAAAGTAAGTATTTATTTAAATAAATTTTATTTTATTTACTATATATAATTGGTTTATTAATTATTTAATTTATTTTTTTCGATTATATAAAATTAAAGCAATCAAGTCGAAATTAAAGAATCGGATGAGTTATTAGATGGAAATGGTAGTTTAAAAAATAGGGGTTGGTCAAGACAACCATGTTTAAAATATAACCCAGGTTCACTTTCAAGATTTAGAAAAGCATACAGATTGAAAGAATGGAATTATTACTCTATAGGTTCTAAGAATTTTTATTTTGCTGTTGCTGCAATAGATTTGGGCTATGTAAACAACTATCAAACATTTTTCATTGACTTTACAGAGGATTTAGAAATGAAAAATAATGGCACATCAACTTCATCCTCATCGCCATCATCTTCACAATCAAAGAAAAACAACTATATAATGGATGATGTTTTATCAACTGCAGCACTTACCAAGGGTTTATGTTTACCAGCAGATAGTTGCCAAAGTGGTATTCATACTAAATATGAATCTAAAAATTTTAGAATAGAGTTTACTGTTGATGATCAATCTAAACATCATATTAAAATAAATAGTAAAAAGATTAATTTAAATGGTGATTTAGTGTTTGATCTTAACCCACAAAGAGAATCTGTTGTTTTGGTAACACCAATCGGAAAGGATAACTTTTATTACAACAGAAAAACAAATCTAATTCCTGTTAGTGGTACCCTTACTGTAGATGGTAAAGAAATGATAACTCCTGAAAATGATTGCCATGGTATTATGGATTGGGGCAGAGGTTGTTGGGACTATAATAGCTTTTGGTTATGGAGCTCTGCTTGGGGAAGAACTAAAGATAAAAACACTCCAATAGGTTTAAATTTTGGCTCTGGTTTTGGTAATCTTTCAACTCACACTGAAAATGCTATAAATCTAGATGGGGTAATTCATAAATTAGGTCATGTAGATATTCAATATAACGAAGATAATCTTTTAGAGCCTTGGAAATTCACTTGCAAACATGGTAGATTTGGCGAAAACCCACTTATTTTCACTCCATTCAAAAAGAAATTTGATAATAATAATTTTGGTATTGTAATGTCAAATTTTCATCAAATACTTGGTAAATTTACTGGCGAAATATTACTTGATAACGGTGAAAGAGTTGAAATAGATATAATTGGGTTTACAGAAGTTCATAAAGCCAGATGGTAAAACAATAATAACAAAAAGCAATCACCACAAATAAAAATAAAAGACAACTCCACAACACAACAAAAAAAAAAAAACAACGCTCACACAAATACAATACACACAAGCAATTATTTATTAAAAATTTTAAATTTTATATTTAAAATGCATGACCAAAATTTTATTTTTCACAAATAAAAAATTTAAAAAAAAACCTTTTTTATTTTATTTTTCTTAAAATTTTTTTTGATTCCTTTTTTTTTTTTTTTTTTTTTTTTTAACTACAGATATCGGAAGAAGATACATATTTTTTTTTTTATTCCATTTTTTTAATCTATTATTAATTTTATCTATATAAATTTTAATTATTACAATTAAATAATATAATTCATTTTAAAAAGATAATTGTTAGTTGTGATGCTAAAAATAAAAACAAAATTTTGATTTTTGGGTAACCAGAATCATGACATTTTTTTTTTTAAAAAAAAATTAGAAAATTTTTTTTTTTTTTTTTAAAGAGATTATAATCACAAAATTCTTTTTTCTTTCAGTTCACACTCCAGATTAAAAATTTTCATATAAATTCCATTTGGTTTTTCAAATATAAACTTTTTGAAAATAAAAAAAAATTAATAAAAAAAAAATAAAAAATTATAGTAAATCTAATTTAAGTATAACCCACCCTTGGATTTTTTTTTTTTAAAATTGAAATCATAATAATATTAATAGTAGTGTTAATTGGATTATATATGTCAAAACAAATAAAATAAAAGAGATAAAATAAAATTAATATAAAAACAAATAAAAAATCACTTGAAAATGATCTAATAAATCTAAAAATCAATCTTTATTTGGAATTTTCTATTATCATAGAAAACTAAAATATCTCTTTTTCTTTAAAATTCAATTTTTTATTTTTTATTTTTAAAAAAAAATTTCACTTTTTTTTTTTTATAAAAAGACCATTCACACAATAAAAAGTTAAAATAAAAAATTTCCCCTCTCGCTCTCGTAATTTAAAAAAAAATTAAATATAATTTTTTAATATTTCAACCTTTCACAAAAAAAAAAATAAAAATTTTTGTTTTGGTTTAACCTTGCTTTCCCCATCACTTTCAAACCTTTTTTTTTTTTTTTATTTTTTTTTTCAAATTTTTTTTTTGCCATTACTACGGTCTACACCACATAGAATCAGAAAAAACCCAACAATACAAAAAAATTTCCGTTAATGCCCCACCTTAATGTTGCCCAAACTCAATATATTTTTTTTTAAAAAAAAAAATCATAATTTTTTTTTTTTTTTTCTTTTTTTTATTTTTTTATTTTTTATCATTTTTATTTTTTCTTTTTATTTTTTTTTTCCACTTTAATATAAATATTTATCATAGCTCCCACACAACACAAATAATTTTTTCACACAATAAATAACTTATACATTATTTTATTTGTAAATTGCTTATTGTATATATATTTAATTTGGTTATTATAAATAAATTAGTTTTTATTACACATATTATTTTTAAAAATATATTTTTTTTTTTACACTAATTTTTTTAACATTCAATAACACCATTCCACATCAAAATATAAATATCTATTTGAACACAAATTTTTTAAATTTTTTTTCTCAAAATTTTTTTTTAAATAAATTTATCTCTATTTATTTTTATATTTATATTAATAGATATTTTTCTATTTTTATGTGTAATTTTTTTTAGATTAATATTTATATATTAATTTGGCAATATCAAAAGTTATTTATTTTAATAAAACATCAAATAAAAATAATTCAATAAAATGAAAAAAAGAGTATTAGAATTGGGGTGTGTATAAAATAATTTTTGCTTTTTTATTTTTTTTTGGCACCAACGTGGTAATTCCTCTATCACATAAATCTTTTTTTTTAAAAAATAAAAAAACCAGTAAAAATAACGCAAATTTTAACTTTAATTTTTCTTTTTTTATTTTTATTTTTATTTTTATTTTTTTTGTTTTCAATGTATATAATATAAAGATTGTTAGATCAAGTGGGATTAAAGGCAACAAAGAGAAACAGAAATCCAATAACAAATATACCAAATGATGATGATGACGATGATGATGAATATAACTCATCATCAGAGATGGAAAGTGGGGATAGCAATTATACAAATGAAACAACAATTACAAGTGATCAAGAGTCTGATGGTGAAGAAGAAATAATTGTATCAAAAAAAATTAAAAATCAAAAACTTAATAATAAAATAAATAATAATAGTAATAGTAATAGTAATAGTAATAGTAATAGTAATAATAATAATAATAATAATAATAATAATAATAATAATAATAATAATAATAATAATAATAATAATAATAATAATAATAGTAATAGTAATACTAATAATAAAAATCAAAATAAAAAAAATCAAAATAACGAAGTAGAGGCAGAATCAGATGAAAGCATTTCACACAAATTATTTTTATCTGGGTTTTATAAAAATATTTTCTCCACACTTTCACATTATAAATATAACGGTGCAAGAGTTCAACTATCTGTTTGTTCATATATACCCCCAACCTTAGACTATTCCAAAAATTATTTTAAAACTCATTCAGAAGAAGATATAAAAAAAATTGAAAGTGATGATAAAGGAAACACTAATAGTAGCAATAAAAGTAATAATACAAAGATTAGTAATATTGACACCAGCATTGAAAACAGCAATAATATTGATAAGGTTGAAAATAATACTATAGATAATAATGGAAATAAAAGAAATGGTAATGGTAATAGTAATAGTAGCAGTGGCAGTAACAACAACAACAACAATAATAATAATAATAATAGTAATATTAATAATGGTAGCAATAGTACAAATCCTTCACCAATTTCCTCAACAATGACCACTCCAATTATAAACCCGGTAAAACCATTAACTCCATCACTTTCAAGTTCATCCACACACCCAGTTTTACCTCCACCAAGTATTATTTTAAATATGGATTTAGATAGACCTCACAGTGATAATAAAACTAATAACAATAGCAATAGTATTAATATTAATAATATTAATAGTATAAACAATATAAATAACAATTCAAGAGGTATTGGTAATATAGGTGTTTTAAATAATAGTAACAGTAATATTAGCAATAACAGCGGTAATACGAATATTAAAACCAACCCAAATAGCCCAAATAGCCCAAATAGCCCAAGTAGCCCAAGTAGCCCAAATAACCCAAATAGCCCAAATAGCCCAAATAGCCCAAATAGCCCAAACAGCCCAAACAATTCGTTGAAACCAATCAATAATAACACTAATAATAGTAATAATAGTAATAATGGCAATAGTTTAAATAATATTTAGTGGGTTAAAGAATAATGGGGTTAATCGTATTTATGTATAATAATCCACAACAACTTTTGTCATCACCACAACAACTTTTGTCATCACCACAACAACTTTTGGTCATCACACAACAACTTTTGTCATCACCACAACCGCCATCACCACCACCCACAAAGATTACAATTCCAAC